TTCTCTCAGGCCTGGCTGGACGCAATCAGGACCAGCCCTGGCTTCGCCAGTGGCCACTGCCACCTGAGAGTTCTGTATACAATAAACCTCTCATTCTGGTGACTATTGCCTTTTACCTCCAACCTGGGATTCGACCTGATGTTGTATTGATCTAGGCACAACCACGGCTTAGACCGCTACAAACTAACGGACGCAAAGATTGCTCCTAGTACTACTCAGCATTACGGTTTTTCCTGCGCAGAGTGTGCGTAAAAACTGCTCCCATTGCCAGAACTAGTGAAGCATACTTCAAAGTAAATAAAAAGACCATTGCCAAAAATAACAACGCAGTTGTAGCAATTGACAATTAAGCTGCAAGCAAGTCCAACGAGCATGACACTAAGTACGGTCATCTGCGATGCACGCGGACGCACCTAATTTTACCCGATGTGTAATCGCATAGCAATATTGTTGTAAGTACTACATCCACGGTGCGCCAACAACATTTATAGATTGACTTTCCCAAACGTATGTTAAAAGGAGAATCCGAAACGTCAGGTGAACTATATTCTTGTTCCGGCGGTCGAGTCCCTTACGATACTGACTGGCTAACGGATTATTTCACATTGCCAAGGCACAAAACCATTGGCTTGTCAGTTTGAACTGAAACCCTACAGAATACTTCCCAGAGTGCCATGGTAAAGGCAGACACCGTCAAAAGGCTGCTCGTCATCGCAGAAAGTGCGAAGAAGGATTTTAATGTTGCAGTTACGTACTCTACATGACAGGACTTTTAAAAACTTTTGAATAAAACTGTCTCAGGGCCCGAAAGCACCTCAGCTAACAAGGTAAGAGGGGATGTACCAGACTCAGAAGATGAAACAATGGTCTAAATAATTTATCACAAGAAGTAGTCAAGCCGACATGATAAAGTTACTGTCGGATATGACCCTTTTAGCGGGTCTTTGAACCCAGTGAGTTCATCTTCGCCAGGAACTGTTTCGTGAGAGGATGCCCCGACGACCGAATATGGCTGCGATTGCGGCCGCGACATAATGTATATAAAAGTGTATTATTGACCGGTTACACGGCCTCCTGATGTCGATTTTGGAGACAAAAATCATGCTAAATGATAGAAGTTTGTCTTCAATAAGCGTAAAAGATGATCTCATAAGAAATAATGTGCATAAACCGCATTGACGTCCGGGTAAAACCCATTGCAATCAACCCTTTTCACCACTTTCACTTTCATCAAAGCTTAAGGACGCTAGTTGCACTAGAGCCCTCTCTTTGTAGTTGTGGGTTCGAATCCTACCAAGGTCGCCGTGTCGACTTTCGTCAGAGTCGGGACTGTAGTCGGCAGCACCTATAGTGTCGCCAGATTCTCGGAAGCCGCCTTCATTATCAAGAGCTCCACCTTGTCTACGTTACGAATTCAGCCCTTGTGTACTGGGATTCCTTGTGATTGATCATTATGCCGAACGGTATGATACCAAAATCGTTTTGTTACCAGTATTACAAAAAGAACTAACGTTTTGGATAAGAAGGATAATCCAGATGTCATATTGGGCGTCCATCAGGGTTGTTTTCTTTTAAAAACTGTACTTAACTATGTGGGAGAACTTGTTATTCATACATGTTAGTAGACCGTCCCTAGAGTAAGAGTGGATCGCAATCCATGTACCGCCGACTTGGATTTCGCCGAGAAGTCTGCGATGCTGACAAGCTCAGCGGCATAAATGCAACAGGCTATATCCCAGGCGGGCACGAAGACAGCCGATGCGATCTTCAACACTGACTCCTTCAGGTAACCTCCGACTTCGAAATCACTCAGGATAAAATTTGAAACGGTCGGGTTAGTGGATAGATTCTACTGCCTTTGGTCAATTTTTTTGCTGAAAAGCTAGTTAGATGTTAAATAAACGATCTGATTAACCAGGCACACAGCCGTCATCCAACCCCGACGAATTTTCCGGAATCGACCCTAGGACAGCCTGAAAGCTAGGCTGTGAGCTTACGAAGTCTCCGACAGGAAAATATTTGTGCATGGATGAGAGACATAGCTGGCGCACTCCGAAGACATAATCTGGATGTATACGAGTTAATCCCCTGCGCTCTGTTCTCCGAATTTGGTGCTTTGACGGCGTCTAACAAATTAACGTGTAGTTGATCAATAAAAGAAACTCATCAGCAGCACCCAGTATTCCTCTTACACGACCCGACTGATGAACAGAGTATTCAGGCTGTTTACTTTGTCGAACCCGAAGTTGAATGGCACCGACGCCGATGTATGCGTCTAAAAAGTGGCTGAGAGTGGTTAGAGCAGGAATTGAGCGTTCCACAGGGCCTGAAATGCTAATCTACAGGTCTGGCCTGCCGAATAATCCGGACACCTTTTGGTCCTCCTTGATAGCATATGCAGAGTGTTTTGTGCTTATGCATCCGCTATACACAACTGAGTAGTATTCAGTACTCTAACTGGCTCAATCACGTATATGCTTGCGTGGCTGCCCATGAAATTGCATTTATGTTCAACATGGTCACTCAGACAGCTCATTCAGGCGCATTTCTGCAGTTCGTAACCCCAGGCGTTTAGCAGTCTAATCGACTTCACATGGCTTAGAGGACCCTGAGCTACGTCTACGACCGAAGAATTTCGGGCGATTGTGTGCGTTCACGTTTGGTGGAGAATATTTTATCAGGACTGGAGGTA